CCGCAGAACTGCCAGACTGCCGGGAAGACCTGCGGCCCCGGCAGGTGCAGCGCCAGCAGGTCCAGCGCCTGCGCCGCCATGCGCTGCGGCGGCAGCTCCGACGCATCATCATAGTCCGGCGGCAGCGGCTCGCACATCATCGCACACAGCGCCTCCACCGCGCGCCGCAGCAGCGCCTTCTGCCGCGCCAGCTGCTTCGGTTTGAAGCGCGCCACCCAGTGCAGCAGCTGCAGCGCCTGCTCGCGCGCGTCGTTGTCCAGCTGGCGCGCGCCTGCCAGCGCGAGCGCCATCTCCAGCACCGCGGGCAGCGCCGGCTGCAGCAGCGGCGCCGGGAACTCTGCGGCCTCGAGCAGCACCTGGCAGATCAAGATCAAGATCTCCTGCGGCCCGTTGGCGCCTCCTCCGTTGGGTGGTGGCCGCGGCGCCGCGGCCGCGGCCAGCGCGCGCTCCGCGGCGGCGAGCGCGGCGGCGACGAGCGCGTGGAAGGCGCGGAGCTGGTCCTGCGTGCACACGAGCGGCAGCAGTGGCTCGACGGCCGCGAGCGCGGCGACCTGGACGGCGGGGCTGGCGTCGGCGAGTGCTGACGTCATCGCCTGGATGATGCCACCGACGTGGGGCACCATGAAGTCGCCTGGCGGGTGGGGTTTGGTGGACGAGGAGGAGGGGGATTGCTTAGTGACAGGGTGCACGGTGGCCGCGTGAGTGCTGCGGTATCGTGGCGTGTGTCCATCTGGCCAGCTGCCCTGCCGCTTGGGGCCCGGCCGGCCTCCCGCCGCACGCCCCCCGGGCGGCGGCGGCGGGCTCCGCGCCCTCGCTCTCCTGCCGCTGACGAAGCGCTGCGCCGCGCGCCGCGAGCCGCGGCCCGATTCATGTGTCGTCGCGCCGCGCGCGCGCGCGGGGCCCGCACCCAGTGTCTCCATGAGCGACGCGAACAGCAGCATGGCTACCTCCCGGTGCTCCGCCGCCTGGGAGGCGCTGCACTGCTGCAAAAACTGGAGCAGCTCTGGGGAAGATGTGAGGGGAAGGGTTCGGGCGGGTTGAGGGTCACCGGGGGCGTGGGGGTGGGGAGAGGGGGTGCGAGGTGAGCTGGGTGGGTCCAGAGAGGTGAGCGCGTTGGGCAGACCCTGGCTTGCGTTTCCGGGTGTAGGATGCTGGCGGATGCGGGGTTTCACCCCGCTGGCACGCAGGTAGTAGGCACCCACGGCATGCCGGGCAGCTGCCGCGCTCGTCGGAGCGCCCAGTGGCGCCGCGCCGCTCACCCGGCCACTGGTTGAGGGGCACCGCGATGCGCGCGACAGCGCCCGCTACGTCAGCGATGGCGCGCCTCACGCTGTGCAGCGGCTCCTGCACCACCCGCTGCAGCAGCAGCGCACGGATGCGGGCCTGGGCCTGGCGTCAGTGGTGGGGCAAGAATCGGGCGGGGCGTGTCGGCGCGTGGCGGCGCCCTGCGCCGCGCGGCTGCGGCGGCTGACCTGGGTCGCGCGCACGCCTGCATGTGCAGTCCGGCTCGTCCTGGACTGGGTGAGAAGCTAAGGGTCTGCAGCCACCCACGAGGCAGCGCACACCAGAACGGCGTGCGGCGCGCCAGCCGGCGCGTTGCGCATGAGAACTGGGCCCCCGCTGGAACCGCGGCGCCCCCGGCAGTGGGCTGCAGCCCGAGGCCGCCCTGCCCTCCGGCCCGGCCTTCCTGCCGCCCGCCGCACGGCCACGCGTCGCCCCCGGCTGCACGCCACGCATCGCCCCCGCCCGCCGCCCCCGTGACCCCTGGTCACCCCGCATGACCCCCCAAACCGCCCACCCACCCACGCCGCACCTCTGGCGGGAGCTTGGGGAAGTGCTTGCTGACCGCCTTGCGCACCAGCACGGCCGCCAGCTGGCGGACCTGCGCGTCCGCCGCCTCAAGCCGCTTACAAAGCTCTGGCACGTAGTCGGCGTGGCCGGACAGCTGTTTCAGCGCCTTTTCGGCTGCCTTGCGCGCCTGGATAGTTTTGGTTTGTCCCCAGCGAGGCCATCATGGGTCAGCAGTTGGGAGGCGATGGTGGTGGATTTGGGAGAGGGAGGCGGTTCTGGACCGTGGCGATACGGCTGGTGCCAGGGTAAGGAGCGCGTGCCAGGGTAAGAATGGGGGCGAGCCGTGGGGGCTGCTGCGAGGGGGGGGGGCTGTTCCCAGGTGGGTCACGCGCGGCCAGCCGACCAGCTGCGCCGCCCGCGACGGCCGCGAGCACCGGGGTCTGTCGGCTGCATAGGGCAGATGAGGAGCATTCGTTTTAATCTCCGCGCCTTCACCTGATTGTCGAAACCAAGGCACGCGGCCAGCATTGCGTCCAGATCGGCCATTTTTACCGTAATGTATGAGGTGTGACCGTGGGTGGAGAACGTCGTTGTACAAGCCTGACCAGAAAAGGCGATGACTGTGCGCCACCCACATACGGTAACGTGCACTCTCGGTTCGCGCCTGCATAACTCCGGAGGAACGCAGCACTGGTTCTCACAGGATCGCTGATACAGCGACGGCTGGTCATTATTTAGTGCGCCCTGCTATTGGCTGACGTGCGCGCCGTGAGGAAACCAACGAGTGATCTGGTCGCACTCCGAGTCTCCGTAAGGCGGCAGCAGTGGCTAAAATGGCGGCGTCCTTGCGTGCGGGGTGTGCTCACAGCAATGCAGCGGCAGTGCAGGCGCGTGGAGGCCGCCGAGCCCTCAGTGTGCGGGCGTCCAGGTGCGTGGAGTGAACAGCACGAGCTCATTGCCTTTCAAACAAAGGAAGTGTGTTGTTATAATCGCACGCGCTTGCGCATGCATGCCAGCTTCGTGTCAGTGCAGCACATGCCAGCGCCGCAGCTCGAGCTGTGGTGGCGCAGCGGCGCGTTTGGCTCACCAGCACGCTCTGTATGCTTTGCTGCGTGTACCACCGCAGCCTCAGCAACCCGAAGCTCTGGACACCCTCATCTGAGATCAAGTGAGCAGCAGGGCGGAACGTGGGCGGCTGTGTGGGCGGGCCCAGCTGTAGTCCCTCAGCTGCAACCCCAGGAGTGCATGCGCTTCTCTGCTAATGAAGCAGTCTCTGCAGCCGCCAGCTTGCACCAGACCCACGTCACTATCAAGCAACAGGAGC